TCTGCTCTTAGCAGCACAAGCACTCTAAACTACTCTACGAGCAGATCTCTAGCACTTCTCTAAGGAGAAGACCAAGACCTAGAAGAGCAGCTAGAAACACTAGGGAAAGAGCTTACTATAGCTATAACTAAAGCAGCTAAGGCAGCAATTCCACAATGCTCTACCACTGCAAAAAGCAAGCCCTGGTGGAATTAAGACCTTAAAGCACTTAGGACAAGCATGCTCAGCAAACAACGCCAACTGCAGAGAGAACTCGCTGTTAGCCTAACAAGTGCCTACACCTGGAAAAGAGAATATCTAATAGCTAGAAACAGCTATCTACAGGCTGTTAAAATAGCTAAACACGACTATTGGAACGAATTCCTATAGAGAGAGGACCCTAAATTAATCTTTAAAGCTAACGTAGTTCACAAGCGAGCGGTCCAACCCAAGCAAGTGGTCCACCTAACAGAGTTAAGATGATTGCAATGCATATGCTGCAACACCACCACCACTTACTACAATTTGCAGGTGATAGAGATACTATTTAGACTTATTATTATTAGATGCATTGACAATTTCAACTGCACAGGTGCGAGTGTTGTGGCTAGTCTCTCCACAACGTCCGCAACGCCTCTGTGTGCGCACCTTCTTTGCAGGCTCTCTGCCCCCCTGCTGCCCACTACCCTCCCTTTTAGCTATTAAATTAGCTACCTCACCTACTGTAAGACTCTCTGCTGCCTAAATATACTTCCTCTTTTAACCTCTAACCTCTGTTGCTATCTCTACTGCCTTGCGAAGCCCTGCTATTTCCTGTCACATTAACATGCTATCATGCCCTATCCATGCAATGCCCTTGTTCAGCTGCTCAACTGCTCTAAGCAGAGGAGAAACTAGGGAATCTCTGTGCAGTCGTACACGCTCACGAACCAGCGTTGACTAAGCCTCTATCTCACAGAGGTTGCTTAGAGTTTTTAATTCCTATGGGGTGTCCTCTAGCTTTAGTAGAGTTGGCGTACAAAGGACCACATCAAGCTTTAATATCACCGCCTCTAGGTTGTGTAGAACTAGTCCAGCGCCCCTAAAGCCTGCACAGATGTTCTCCTTCATAATTAACCTCTTAAAAGCTGCTTTAAAGGCTGGTAGGAAAGCCTCCTTCTTAATCTGCTTAGAGCTGTACCATGCTAAGCCACTAATCTCATCACCATATGCCCGCTTCAAAGGCAAAAAGCAACCTACATCAAGTGGCTGCAGCAGGTGCGACGAGTGAGCAGGCATACAGAGAACAATAATCTTCTCTTCCTCACAGTGTTTGTGGAATTCATGTGAGCTGTGGCTCTCATGGCCGTCCACAATTAGCAGCCTGTGTGCACCCACCTTCTAGTCTTTTGTATAGGTATTAAAGTGCTTTAGCTAGGCAATACTAAGCTTATTCAACGTCTAGCTATTAGGACTAACCTTAATTACCTAATCCTAAGGTGT